CTGCTCAGGTTGTCTTTACTCTGGCTGAAGACCCCTAAGCTTCGCTGTTGGAAAAGAAAACGGGGTGGATCAACTCAACGGCACGAATCGCAGCAGCTTCGCTGTTGGGATTTGGGGAAGCTGTTAAGAAAGGCAGCTGGACCTTCTCCCAGACAGACTTCCCTGGTGGAGGTGGTTCCAAGACGGACGCCGCTGCTTTTTGGCCCTCCTTGGCCCGCCGGCGGGCCGAAGGGAGGGGAGCCTCGGAAACGCGTCGGACGTGTTCTACACAACGAAGAGTCCCAGAGTCGAACGGAAACGCGAAGCATCCAAAGCATCTTGAAGCCTCCAAAACTCCTTTCTTCATGTTCATGGCTTTTGGGACAATTACATGCGCCCAGGCGTCGTGCTTTTTCTTCCCACAATGTTTGCTTCAAGCGTTGTGCATGCTTGCATACTAAGAAAACAGACAGCACCCAGAGCCTTATTGTTTCAGATCCAAGATCTTCATAAACAACATCTATATGCATACAATACGTTTGTGAGGACTGTGGCACAAGAACTCCAAGCAGGCACGCCTCTTCAGCTGCATCAGGCGCTTCCTCATTTGCTGCCGCTTCTTTGGCCGCAGCCTCTTTTGCCGCGGCCTCTTTGGCCGCGGCCTCTTTGGCTGCAGCCTCTTTCGCCGCAGCAGCACGCGCTGCCTCTGCAGCAGCCTTCAATCGCTTCACATCCTGCATGCAACGTTCTTGTTTAGCTCGTTTTTTGCTCCACCAAAACGATCCCATTTAAAGCACGGCCGAAACTTGACCTGAAAACCAAGTTGCTGCCCACAAGAAGACCGGTCTGGAAGTGCGTCGACTTGGCACTTTTACTACCACCGAGATCTGCACGAATCATAAAGCTGGCCCATCCTTCACAAGGAAACCTTCTACTGCGGCACTCGAGTTAATGCTGTCCTATCTCTGGTTGGCATGACGGAAAAAGTACCATAAGAGATTCATCCTATGTTTTCGATTACTCAGATCTTACAATGATGTTGAGCTTTCACCTGAACTGGAAACTGACTCCATGCCAACACCCAGAGCCTCAGATAACTCTAGATAACAAAAGGCCAACAGCCAAACTTCTAAAACCAGGGAACATAATTCGCAATGACAAGAGATTTGTTATGTTGGCTGCCAAACAAACATCATCGGCCCGCTGGCTGAGGCACCTCTGCAGCGCGCCTCTTTGCTGCTGCCGCTTCCGCTTTTTGCAGCTTCCCCTAAGGGCTGAGTTCTGTGCAGCTTCCAAAAAGCAAGGTCTGGCGCCGTTCCAGCCAGGATGGGGACACTCCGTTTTGAAGCAGGCCTTCTCTCTGAATGTGACCCACATGTATTGGCCTCGAGTTGTCGATGCAGCATTGCCAAGCGGGACTTGGCAGTGTCAACGTCCTCAAGAGCTGAGATCATCAACGTCCAGTGTCGATCAGTGCATCGCATCAACGTCCTAAAAAGGCCTTACACCCTGGAAGACGATCCCATGGACCCTGAAAACGGTTGGTAGAGGAAAACACTCTTCCAAGCCATTGTCAGGGTGTATGTTAGTTTTCGGGAGTGTACCTATTTCTGAGTCCTGCAGTAGACCTTCGAGTCCAGAGAGTGTGGCCTCAAAAAGCTGAGTGCAAGGCAGGAAGTGCTCACGTGACTCCCCGTCCAGCACATCATGTAAACTTTGAGCAGTGAGGTTCCAATGCTTTTTAATGCTACTTTCCACGATAGGTGTGGGACACGTGGAACCTTTTCCGAAGTGAAATTGAGCCATTGCAGCACAGTGCACTGTGCACACAAAAAAGCTTCATGAGATTCTCCGTAACACGCCGTAACAAGCCGCACTCCTCGACCCACGGTGGTCCACGCAACGGCCCCCACCACAGTCCGCACATGTACGGTGTGCTTTGATCAACCCTGCCTTTCGGGTACCTCGATCCTCGTCACATAAGCCAGAGATATTGTCCAAAGCCATCATGTCCTGGATTCGGATCTTTGGATCTTTCATTGTTCTTACGCGGCAAGTGGCCGAAGGCGACCGAAGTTAAGTCAATATCACAACGATCACGATCACTGGGGACATTGCAAAAGGATATGTTTTGAAGTCATTCCAAAGGCTGATCTACAATGCACTGAAACCAGCAACAGCTTGGTACTCACACAGTTCGGAGACCTCCTTCCCTCATGGATGTTCTTTCGGGCTGCAGCTTGGAGTTTGTAGCCATTCCTAGTGCTTATACAACACTACAAAACGAACCATGAAACGAAATACCCACAAGCTCCGGGTGTGGGACTACCTTGCTTTCGGGTCCGCTCCATCCACACGATCGCATGCGTCCTCCAACAAATCCTCGCCGAAGTTCCGGGCTTTCTTTCTAGCCTCTCGCCATTGTGATGAGACTAGACCCATTCAGCCTGGACCCAGCCATTCTGCCACACCGGCGATTGGAAACACCACCTTCTAAACCCAGCCGGATGAAAGAATCGACTGCACCTCCTCAACAGCTGCTAGTTCAGCACGAAGCTTTTCGGATTCGTCGACCTCCACTTCCTTCGGCCAACGTTCGCCGATGTGCGAAGTTCGCCGAACCGATGGGTTTATCAACAAAATGAATCATGTGGCTCAGGCATTCGCCCGCTTGGACAATGCAGAGGTGGTCCGGCTTAAGTCATAGACCTCTTTGAGCCTGCCAAGTTTGGGAGAAAAAAAAGGAACCGACGCACAGGCTGAACAAAGCATGGTCCAAACCCAATGTTCTTTGTTTCTGAAACTGCTTAGAAGGGCCCACATGGCTGGGGCATTTGCATGTCAATTCCTTCTGCCCTGCTTACACTCACGGCACGCTGCTAAACAGCAGCTTTGCAAAGACTCTTGCAAAAGCAGCAAAAAGACTAGGCTTTCGGCATGTTTTCTTGATGCTCTTTCACCTTCTGAACCTCCATGACTCTCTGTAAAGAAGGCCCAAAGAAAGAAATAAAGAAACAAACAAACATCATACGCAAGTCAGTAGGATCTATTTAGTTGGTGCTATATTCAACTCCAACGGGTCTGCTTGGGTCTCTAGCTTGGGTCTCTAGAGCTTTGAGACATATCATTTCTGCAACAGTCAACCTCCCTCGCCCTTCTCAAACAGGGGATGAGACTTGCTGAGGCAGACCCTTTTCCCTCGCTCTGCTTGGCTCTAGTCAACTCCACCTACCGCCCGCAGCCATCAACTCTGTTGAAGGCACCCGAGCTTAAACCTAAACAAGAAACTAAATGCTTCGAATTCATTCGACCGGTCTTGGATTCCAATTCATTCCTCTCCGGTCTTGAAGACTCCAAATCGCCGAGTCTTTGAAGGGAAAAAGCTTCAAACGTAGAGACGGATGGTCGTGCGCGTCGATCGAAGGTCCATTCCCGGCTGGCAGGTCAAAAGGTCAGGCCGAAGAGGCGGATGACTCCGAATCGCTGCATTCCGAGATCTGCCGACGAGGTCGTCGCCAACTGAACGAGGTCGTAGCAAGGGCAAGCAACACCAGGCATAGCCCTGCTACACCAAGCCAGTTCTGCAGCGAAATGGACTTTCTTTGATTGCTTTGCCAGCTCCCTGCAAGATCCTCCACAGCGTCTGCGAGCCTGTTGGACCATGCGCTTCCTTACAGGATTGAATTGACTTGAACCACCAAGCAGCACAAGCTATAATTACCTACTGCACCTCCCATAGACTAACTACCCCCTTTTCTACCTCCACAACTTGAGGATTCGAACCTTCCAAGGTCCAAGTGTCTAAGGTTCGGCTGCGATCCAAATCCTTTGGCGGCGTCCAAGTGGAGCCGCTTGAGTTCGGTCTCATTCCATTCGCCGGGCATCCCCTGAACATCGGCATACCATTCGGGCAAGAATAAGTCGGTTGGGAAGAAGTAGTACTCCGAGGGTAACGCATCGGGCCCCAACGCATTCTGATAAATCTCACTCTGAGGATATTTGGGCAACTTCTCCCAATAGTAAGGGTATTGAGGTACTCGCTCTCGAAAAACATGGATTTCAGCCTTCATCTTTTCCAACCCAGCCCAGGCTGCTGCGAGGTAGCCCAAGGCGGCGGCCGAAAAAATTGGATTGTACAACAAGCCCATGGCCGAAGACATGACATTCCCACCGGGGTACGCTGTGGCCGACAAACTGCGTTTTGCATCATCAGCAGAGCCTCCCAAACCGCCAAAGGTCATAAATCGCACACTCGGGGGCGAGCTCATTTGTGAGCTTGAGCGAGCGTCATGCTCGAGCTGGTGTTCGATCTTCTTTGACAACATGTAAGCTGTCCGGGAAGCCGTATCGCACGATGAGCCACAAAGTCCATCCGACACAAACAAAATTTCCGAGAAGGGGTGATGGACATTGGCCAGGGCATCCACAAATTCCTGCGTATAAACTGAGACGCAATCTTCAACCCGAAACTTGGCTGTGAGTTCCACATCCTCCTTTCCACCTCGGCGCCTTTTCCGCATGGCTCCGAAGGGATCGAAGGGCTGCCCAGTGTCTGAAAAGGCCATCCTTGGCGTCGCAAGACTAACGAAATGAAACTGTTTCAAGACTAACGTCTGCCCGGGGCATAAGTGAATATGTACAGGCCCTGACGTAACCAGATCCATAAGCCGTGATTAACACCACCAAGCCTACCGCTGGCGTAACGCGACAGGTCACATTTACACAGGCATGCTTCTTGATCCAGTGACTGTGCTGCTCTCGTACAGTTACTGTGCAAGCTGCTTGTGTTACTGTTACTTACGTTACTTTAACGGTGCTGCTCTTACTCACATTACTGTTGCTGTACAACTGTACATTCTAAGTATTCTTGAGGCAGAAGCTTCTACACTAAACGACTTCCTCTCATCAATATGACCAAATACCGGCGATAGGATGGCAAAAAGGACGTGTGTCCTACCAGGTGTTTCGTGCCAAAAAGCTTGGGTCACAGTCACATATTTGCAAAAAGAATGGTTTCAATCTCAGTTGTGCATCAAGAACAATGTAAAGGGATTTCCGAAGCTGGCCGCAGAATCGCTCAACACCTGCACAGTCTCTTGCAGGGTATAAGCATCCATCTCTCCCATGTCCAGGGTATCAATGGCTGACTGAATCATCATGTAGTCATCATAGCTTAAAACATCCATTGCAATGCATGCCTTCGTCACAGCATGGAGTATTTGGGTGAGGTGCTCCTTCTTCTCTTCCGACAACTCCTCGACTCTCTTCTCGGCTGGAGCAACGGTTTTCAAAAAGTTCACCAATGGCGTGACATTCACGTGCTTCCATGCATGGAAGAGTGAGCCGACGGGTCGGTCGTATTCGTTGCAAACCTCTGCGAACTGAAGAAGCGGGTGCAACGCGCGCACGAACAAATAGGCAAAATCCACGAAGCCACCGGGATTTCCAGAGAGATCCACGAGCAAGCGCGAAACCGAATGATCTTTGGACGTCTGCACGAGTTCTCTCCAAAAGGCCGTAAATTGCGACTGCACCTGAAAGCCGGCAGATTCATCCTCTGTCAAATAAAAGCGCGTGAGCTTCACCACCGCAAAGAGCTCACCGGACTCATCCCTTTGCAGCTGGTAGTATCCATATGTGGCACCAAGGGGGCTCAAGGCAGGATCCAAAAGCCAGCGACGCGGAAAGCTCGCCTCATCCAGCGCAGGCCTGACAGAATGCAAGACTCCAAACCAAAATGAGTTGAAGGACTCAACAAAGCGATTCTGGCCTAGATTCCAACATTGCTCCATAGTGGGCCTGTCAACATATCCCAACTCTGCACATGCTAAAAACACAGTGTGCATTGACTTAAGCAGCCTAAAATTAGAGTTGCAAGAGTGGCAAGTCTCCTCTTTGGTCACTTTCTTCTCGATGCTGGCTTGGGTAGAACAATGTTCGGATCTGATGTATCTTGCATGTCATGGGAGCGTATTTCTTATGTCTCGAAGCAAGGAAATATATCATCAGAACGACCACCACTGCCGGTATGTCTGAGCAAGATCAAATGCCCATCTGCCTGCGTTCCGGGAATCCGCTCTTCAGGAATCTTCAAGAACGACCGGAGCCCTGTGTCCTCCACAGACGGCAATCAAAGGAATGAAAGCAAGAAGAAAATACTTGAAGGTAAACTCAAAAGTCCACAGTTTATTTGAAGATAAATAGTTGAATGCGGATTTGTGAATCTTACCAGATTCCTCTTTCAGCAATTTCATCATTTCATCGTCTGGCAGCTCTGGCGCCGCCTGGGCGACAGTACCGTCAAACGGGCGCACCGTTTTTCGAGTTCCACACGAAACAGCAAAGAAATCACGATCACAGTACGTTCATTTGGTGCTTCACTTACGTGTTGAATCGTGTTGAGAAATGTTGAGAAGGCATTAGATAGCGTCCTTCTGTATCTGAATCCCATGGATGTGCATGGTCGAATTGATAGTGTGACAGAACGTCTATTCCACAATCCAATACCCATCAAAAAAAGAGCGATAAGGCATCAAATGCCCCAAACTGCCAATTTGCAGCAAGTCACATTCACAAGCTCATCATGTTGATGCGCTTTCTGCCTGAGGTAGGACCATTCTTAAGCTCATATTCTGCTCGTGTGCACTCTCCTTCTTGTTTTGCCTTTCTGACCTTCTGCCAAGTGGTGTCTGGCACAAGATCTCTTGACTAGGCTCCAAACAGCTGGCCCAAAGCCTAGGTGGCTCGGTGTCTTTTTCGAGTGACAGGACAGGACGTTTGCTTTTGGAACTGGCCAAGAAGAGTTGAAGAGACCCAGTTGCCTCGACCGCGTTTTGATGCAAAGTGCCAGCAGCTTTCAGAGGTCCCTGAGGCTCCCAACGGGGTGGCAATGTGAAGTGCTGTACTTCGGAGTAAAAGACTTTCCAAAATGAAGTACGTGCTTCAATTAGCCTTTGCCCTTTGCCACCGATCATACTGTGCCAGTCTTATCCGAAATCCAAGCAGAAGCGCAGCAATTTTTAAGTAGATAAAGTATCGAAATTCTTGATTTCTTCACCTGTTGTGAAGGAAACAAGCTAGATGTCTGTTTAGATGCCTTACTAAACTTACATAAAGAAACGCTCGATCGCTGTGGACCTTCAGCAAATCTAGGACGCAGTTCACGTCGTACTTCTTGCACCTTAGGCAAGGCGAACCAACTTAGCCAGCAAAGGAGCCAACGGCGGACAGTTGCCCCGGCAGTCCAAGCCTTACCCTTACTCTCAACAGCTCTATGAGCGATGGAAGGAAAACAAGGGCCGGAAGCAGTGGCACAATGACTCACTGTTCCATAGATATAGGTCTCTACTGCCCTTTGATCATCCGCTATCTTTCCAGAGATTCAGAAACGAAGCAAAAAGAGTCTCCACCATATGGCCAATGAGTGTAGTGCAAGGATGCGAAAGTGTTTGGTACCAACATGGAAAAACCAAGACCCATGGGAGTCTTTTCCTGTTTTTGCTTCAAGTGAAGCGTCCTCCAAGGCCGGTCATGGTCAGGCTTTGCAGCATCATATATATATATATAATGATCAAAACAAAACGATTTATTAAATTATATTGGTATGGCATAGAATTATGTATGTGTTATTGTTCAATCACACAAACAGACAGATCAATCGCAGAGATGCTTGCCAGACATCCCAACAAAAAACAGCATGGATGTAGGGCCCCTGGAGACCCCAGAGTGGTACTCTGCCAGAGTGGTGCAACGAAAAGAACCAAAAATGAAACTTCTGCAGATATCTTAGATCGCTGTTAGGTTGGAGGCCATCGCTAGTCGTTCAAGTCCAAGAAATGAGATGCTCGAGAGTCCAGCCTCCATTGGCTACGGCTAAGTCCTCTGGCGCGTTGAGACTGCGGGTCAGCAGTAGCCAGGTCCAGCTCCAAGTGGTCGTCTGAAGAGCACAGAGCACATGGCCACCGGAAGCTTTCAGCAACAACTATATACCTGTTCTCTTTTCTTATAGGGTATCCCATGGTGTACCATGGTATCGCATGGTATCCCATATTGCTTCCCCTCCTGATACGGCCCATTCAACGACGCTCGATCGATCTGATTTTTCATGTCCGACCCGGTCTGGACTCCGCAGAAAGTGGATCTAGACCTTGTGCCTTTCAGGGGTTGCTAGACACTTACATACATTCGTTTCATGGGAAAAGTCGGGGAATAGCAGGGCTAGAAGCATGTTTCTGACTAGTCTATGATTCAGAGCTCGGGCAGACATGACGTGTTCATAGTACTGAGTCTCCACACTTGGCCATTCTTGAATCGGACCTGAAGACAACTTGAGAGAGAGAGAGAGAAAGAAAGAAAGAAAGAAAGAAAGAAAGAAAGAAAGAAAGAGTGCAAAAAAAGGGGAGCTGTAAGGGAGGATAAAAGCAAGCTTGTGGGAACCTGGCAGAGATCTAAGAAACCCACAAAAAATGCAAACCAATCTTCTAGTTCCCTGTCAAGAAAAAGAAAGTTTGTTCCAATCTTGAGCTGTGAACTTGCCTGGGAGAAAAACAGAGTTTACCATAGGAAATAACAAGTTCTGGAATAAGCGATCGGGAATGGTATACGGTAGGGTTGACGGCTGGCGAATGTGTGCTCTAGGTCTAGGGAGTGTGAGGCATTGGTAGGTATCGGATCAGAAATGGAAGGCTGGACTCGGCTTGACTGCAGAAACTGTGATCGAAAAAAAGGTCTAGGGAAAGAAAGGAGCGAGAATCAAGCAAACACAACTTACCCAACCAAGGGCTGCTTGTTGCAAATAGACTGTTGCTCGGAAAGCTTCTGTAACAGCTGTATCAGATTGTGACAAAGTCGAAAATCCATCAGAGAGGTTTGGTGAGGTCCCCGCACAAAGACCAATCCGAAACAACGGTTTCACCACTCGTTGTGTGAGAATAAAAACCTGTGCTCGGACCCTCATGATGACCACAGTTGCCTCGCCGTGTGTTCCCACCTCGACTGACGGTGTCAGGGAAGAGACATCGCCAACACGGCTGCCCAGCCTAAGTCTCTCACCCACGCTGGGGGATTCTCTGCACTGGGTGGCAGGTGTTGGACTATTCAGCACCAGAACAAAGCGACAAATTATTTTGGGGCTGTCACCAAGCAAAGCCCACACGCGCAGATTTCAGCATGCGGTTGGCTCGGGAACCTTAGGAAGGGTTTTCGACATGCTGATGAGTCGTCAAAGGCTTCTAGCAGAAACTGTTTGATCTCTTTCGGACAGACATTTGCCCGGGTCATGATAAACTAGCAGAAAAGCCAAGTTTGTATCGAGCGAAAAAGCTCTTGGCCGAGTCTGGCAGGAAAGACAGCTGAGCCTCCAGCCCAAGCTTTTGTATGCATAATGGAAGGCTGGGTTCTCAAGCACATGCAGCTGAAGCCACCTCAGGAGATTTGGGGCATGGATCAATCTAAACTCCCGAGTAGCAAAAAAACGACACTGCGTAGCACCATGGATTCTCATGCCGCGTGCAAACAAAAGAAATGGGCTTCATTGGCGACTCTGGTTCTTTAAAAGAAGAAAGAACACTTTGGGGAGATCAGGTCTTCTCTCATAGGCATACGAGTACATGCCCACAAATAGAAGCCCCTCATGAATTCTCTGAAGCTTCATTGCATCTATGGGAGTTGAGCAGGTGAGGCGCAAAATAGCATGACCTTTGTGAATGATGATGATATGATGAGAACGAACAAGGGCTCCAAAAACTACACACCAATTGTGAGTGTCCTGATGTGTCCTGTCTCCCTCTTTCTGCAAACATGTTGCTGCATTGGCTTCATCCCATCGATGCTCTCTATTTCCATCCCATCACACGAAAACCTGAGAGGAAAACTTTCTTTGCAGAAACGAGCATCGACAGTGCCGATACTGGTCAATCTCATGGCGACTAATAAATCATGCTAACCTGAATTCCCCCTTCAAGACCGAGATCTATCACAACAATTCAACGATCCTGCTGAAAGCGAAGGGCAAATGAGCTTGACCCGTACACTCCCTGAAATAGTTCTGGAAGTGGAATATCTCCCCTTGGGTAACCATTTTCCTCTACAAACAGGTGCTGAACTCTACTTCCAAGTCTTGTGGTTACAGCAGTTCTGCTCAAACTGTAGAATGCAAAGCCGGCAGGTCAAATCAATGAGCGATTCTGGCCTCGGGTCTGCAAAGCCGTCGACTGCAGCGGCGGATCTTGCAGAGACCTGTGCAGTCGTTTCTGACCATATTCTTGCAGAGACCAGGCCTGTGTCTGTGTCAGTTCAATGAGGTCATGTAATTCAGTTCACTGATCCAATTACTACAGTGCTTTGAACTCTGAATCGATGGAGTCAAAGGAAAGTCACCTCGGAAGTCCCCTGACTAAACACAGTATCCTCACCTCCATCCGGACAGGAGACGTGGTCGCATCATTCTGCAAGATGAAGATAAACTGGTTGAGAACCGTGTCAGCCTCGAGAACGGTGTGCGCACTGAGCGGCACCCCATGTCCCGCACTTCAACAGAAAGCGACAGGGCAATCAGGACGAATGCCCAGCCTTGGTTCCACCATTTCGCCAGTCAACATGAGCATCTCGCAACCTGCGTTCCCGGCAAGCTGCACTGGCAAGCTGCACTGGCAAGTCTGAATCCGCAGGTGCTGCTTCCAAACGGAATGTGATTTGACAAGCAGCATGTGATTTGACAACATTCATCGCTTCCTCAAAGACACACTGTTTGGACAACTAGATCCGGCAGCGTTGTCTTCACAGGGACTCAAAGCGAACTGTTCTTGAGCAAAACGAAGATTTGTGTTCCCAATTGTGCCTGGTGAAAAGTGAGTTGCTGCGCAAGAACCACTGGTCGATTCCAGGGTTTTCAGGAAGCGAGGCCTCAAAGTGTTCCAAGTCTTGAGCACACTGCACATGTTGCACATGTTACTCATGTTTTTATTCTTAGTGTTCTGTGGTGTTCTCATGACTCATGTTCTAGAGTAAAGATCCAAGCAGTCTCGCTATTAGGTTGGAGGCCATCGCTCTGGATTAGAGATCCAAGCAGTTCTGCTTACTTGACTTGGACAACAGCTGAAGGGAATGGTGAAGTGAAAGGAGATAAAGGAGTAAGGAGATGTAAGGAGCATGTTCAGAAGGCTTGTTCATCACGGTTCTCTTCCATGTCCATCTCTTTTGGTGTGACATGAGCTGCCTTGACAATGCCAAGCACGGTCCTCTTGTGTCCGAGGGCGCTGCTGCAAGTGATCGAAGCTCCCCGACAATGTCTATCTTGGCATCCTGGCAAGTTAATGTTCATGTGACTGAAAAAGTCACAACTGATCACAACTGTATGTTTGTAAGGCAGAAGTAAATCAACACCACACGTGAATATACACAAACATCATCCAACATCCTTCCACACATTTTCACACACGGAGCTGCCACACCATAGCAGTGCATGTCGCAACGACTCCAGTCCAATCTAAAGCAATGTGTAAGGCCAGCGGGGGCGGGGGGTAGACGAAAGCTGGGGCAATCAGTTGCAAAAAGTGCGTAATCCTATTGTCCTCTTGCAAAAGGTTTATATAACGATGTTGAACCATAACGGCCAGCTTAACGTTATCTTATCGATGCCTGCTCACAACGGTAACAGGTTCCAGTACAAGATCGCTGTGTTGGTCTCGGGCCTCCCCTGGCTTGCTAAAGCCAAAACAAACTTAGCTAGCTAAGGTTTCTTGTTGTCATGAGCCAAGTGGACAAGCGCCTCTAACCTGGCTCTACCTTCTGAAAAGGGCCAGGTCCAGCCGGGTCCAGCCTTAGCAGATGATCCACCGCCTCGAGGACTGCCATAAACTCCAAAATCGAACGGCGCCGCCTGTCGAGACCCTTAATTGCTCTCAAACTGGACAAGAACTGCAAGTGAGTCTTCTAATTCTGTTACTTGGTCCAACTTAAGTTTGGTTGATGTACCTTCTTGTTGTCCGTGTCGCACACAAAGTTCCGTCGTTCTGACTGTTTGGGATCCCCTTTCATTCACTTTTTGAGGGAATCCGTCGACTCGCTCGGGAGTTCGTGTCGCTCGGTCGTTCATGTCACTCGTGTCGCGGCGGAAGGCCACAAGTCCCCGTTGTTGATCGTTGTTGATCCCTGTCTCCCTGTCATACCAGCTGGTGGACTTCGAGACTGCGTTGCGTTCCTTTTGTCCTTCCAAAAAGTCTATATGTATATAGTATATAGATAGCAGATGATAGCAGTAAACCCTCTCCAAGTAACTCCGCCTGGCTTTGGCTGGAAGCTGGAGGATCAATGCAAATATATCTGAATGCATAGAACCTGCAGAATGAAATGTGGGAGCAACAGCAGCGGCCAGCGGCCAGCAGTAGCCAACATTCGGCTGCTCAAAGGACGATCGTGAATTTGCTGCATCGTTCGCGGTGGTGAACAACATCTCAACTTTGTTGGGTCTCATTTAGTTTCAAGCTTGACTTCCAGGTAGGATGTAGCTACAAGTTGGGTCTCAACTTGAGAAAGTAACCAAGCACCTCCGGAAAGAAAGTTCGACGATAGGGGAGCCCGGCTTCGCCCTAAGCCCTGCGTCCAGTCTGCTGTGTTCGACTGGGTGTCTGGCTGTTCATAGAAGTCTGCAATGGCATTCAGCGACTGGTTCACCGGACCACGTGGTGTCGTGATCTCGCGCAAACAGTCCAGGCCCTCGTGGAGGCTCAACGCATAGGCACCATCAAATTGAACACCCTGAAGAACCAGGGACCTTGGCAGTGTCATTCAAAGTGCTTCTGGAATCAGATACAATGTGTCTTCATGTGCCTTCCACAACAAACAACTCATGGGTGTCCGTATCGTGAGTGAGCTGGCTCTTATCTTGCAGATTCAAGTTACGGAATAGTCTCGGTATGTCTCGGTCATGTGCAAAATTCTTACAGAAATTCCGCGCACCTCTCACCCTGCAACAGTGCATTCTCTGGAGGGAGCTGAGTCAGGGTGCCCTCACTTGGGCTTTTCAGGAGAGCAAGGAATTTTAGACAGCATTTGTTGGGACAGCGTGTTTCTTCTATCAGTGTCCTATGTCTGAAGAAAGCCGTCCCGACAATGGTCCATTTGCTCCTTTGACCATTCACCCCCATAGCCCAGCGACGATCGGAATTGTTCTGGCCGCAGTTCACAAGGCTTCCCTGCCTAAACGAAAAAGATCAAACAAGGAATCTTTCGACAGGGCTGGGTTGGACTGCAAGTCATGCACCAGGTCATACAAAATCCAGGCGCCAAAACCAGGTGCTTGTTCGCAAACCAAAAACTGGCTCGGTCCATGTCGATTCGCCTGTGACCAAGGTATCAGAAATCCCACCTGGCGCAGGCCACGTTACGCCGTTTGGAGCTAGGCGAGGGGGGAGCAGGTCGGACGAAACGCGAAACCGTGCGCCGTTTTGTTGTGGAGGGATGAAACGCCAGTTGTGGACGGGTTGTGTTGTGAACAATCCTCTTCAACCGAGTCAACCGTCTTTGATGCACCTCGTACAGTATGTTGAATTCAAGTCATGCGTGTCTGAGAAGTAGTGCTGTGTGTGACTCTCTGTTTTGTGTAGCAAAGGTGCAGTGTTGGGAAGAACTGACATGCTTTCGAATCGAAATGCAATGCATGTGGAATTTTGTCCAGCTCATGACACGACCCAGATCTCAGGAAAAAGGCCCATGGTTCGCTACGTTTTCTTTCGTGAGGCCCGCTGCAAACCCATTGCTAGCGCGTGGAGTCTGAGCAGGACATCGTCGTTGCTGGCTCTTAGAAAAGAGAAGCTAGCAGCTAGATGAGACGTTGCAGGCGAAACAGTGTGCTCTTCGATCTTTGATTGCTGTTGTATCCCTAGTTCTCAGACAGGACAATCCATCACAGTAGAAGATCCGGCATACAGAGATGGAATGTACACTGACCGTTCTGGCTCTGCTGCCTCTACTGCGTTCTTGCGCTCTCGTAAGATTCTGCTCACGTTGGCCAAACTTCCTCACGCAGGCAAACTTCCTCTCATGTATAAGCGTGCCAGTTATCACCAAGGCAAACCAAAGCTGAAGTCTGCAATGAGGAGGCGTCACCTCCAAGTTTCACAGATTCACCGATACAGTCGATGAAACTCGTGTGCATTGATTCTGGCGGCAGCTGAAGCGTCTTATTCCAACTGCATGAAAAGTAAAATTATCTTCATTCCAGAGTCTGGAAGTGATTGTTGTACCTTGCACCCCGATTCTTAGCGAATTAGTTAATCGAACAATGCGATGTGAATAACCCGCAAAATACCCGCGTGACAGTGTGACCAACTGCAGGTATCTTGGTTGCCAAGCTGCCCTCTCTCGAAAATCCATGCTTTGTGGACACGAGAGATGGAAGGAAAGAGATGTCCGTTTGCATAGAAGTATTTCTATGCTGTGCGCTTGATTTATGAAGAAGTTGTATCCTCCGATGAACATCACCAACTCTTCAAATATGAATCTTGACAGCAATCAGTCTGGGATTCTCATGTCTGTATTGGAGCCAATTGCCTGCGGTTGCACCATGCTTCACCTGGGCATATCATCCATACAATCTATGGTGCGGTCGAGACCCACACAGAGACGGTCGTCTTTTCTGCCCCATCGCATCCGTCCCATCGCATCCGTCCCATGAAATCCCATCCCATCGAGGAGTCTAATCTTGCTCCTCAGTTCGAAGACGAGCATTGCGATTGGTGACCTGAGAACAAGCATTGGCATCGCGGCTCAGACAACTCCGCACTAAGCAAAGACCGGCAATGACAGGGCCGTCATGCGCCAAACAAATGCAAGTAGTGCATTTTAAGAAGACAAGCTGTATCCCAGAGAGCAGAGGTCCAGGGACTTCAGGGATGAGCGTTTCTAAAGCTATTCAAGCAAGCATACCCTGCAAACCTTCACCTTCGCTACGTCCCACCAGGATCGGCCAATCTCGACCTTTTGGGTGGAGCGGCCTTCCAATGCGATGCGGGTAGACCAACATCGTATATGTTCAAACGCTGTTTCGTTCAACGGTATGTCGCTTTGTTTGGTCAACGGTCCGGTCCCCGTCATCGCTTGGAGCATGGCATACAGTCTCAGCTGGTCTGCTCTCTCCACAATCTCCTTGCGCCTCATCGATCGCCAGAGTTGCAGCGTGGCAAAGCGAGGACAAAGACTCCAGGACAAACTCCAGAGAATGTAGACTCTTGATGAATGAAACCCCTCCATATTAAAGAGGTGCTTCAACTCCGGCTGGCTGGCTACATGAACTCCCTTGGGCGAACACTTCTTGGCACCAATGTTGTGTGCAACCTCCACGGCATACTTCTCCTGGCGACCCGCCGGCGCAAGGCTTTTCTACTCGTTGACGAAGCGACACGGAGGAGGTCCAAGACACAACGGACGTGTTCCAACGGGTCACACGGATTCTTCGGGTGCAACATGCTTGATCTCTATGCATCCCTAGACTCTGCGTGAGAGAAAAGCAAATGCCGAGTCATAACTGCAAAACGATTTGAGAGTCCAATCCGGACATGCAGGTGGCACATTGTGCATCAGCAACATCTCAAGATCTGCTGGGCAACGCCTTAGCAACATCCCAGTCGCACCGAGACTCGGGTCCAGAGAACCTGAGGGTCTGGTAGCCCATCACCCTGTAGACGCTCAATGCTGAGGCGTAGACACCACAAATTTGTAGAAGCCATTCTTCAAACGAAAGCGCCTTGGAGGAGAAAACAATGGCCTCCAACCTACTATCAATGGCCTCCAACCGAATTCACAGAGTTGATTCACCGACAAATCTCATCCGGTCACAATCAAAACACGGTCATCTCTGACCACTTCGTGACATGTTCGACTCGAGTTCCGCACGTTTTCTTGTCGGAGCCATAACCAATCTTTGGCATGAGGGTGGAGCCCTTGAAGCGACGGCGCACGCGGCCATCAATGCCGCGAGGCTTACGCCAAGCTGGGTTCATCCGCTTGAAGCGATCAGCTTGAAAGCGTGTGAACTTCTTCGTGCGCTTCTTCACGATCTTCTTCTTGTCCGCAGGAGTTGGCATGGCGGCACCTTTTCTCCTCAGACAAAAGTTCCAGGGCATCAAAGCAGGAAAAGAACAACGTGTTCGGTGTGTTCAGATTAAGATTAAAGCGATGGAGCAATTGTGTTGGTTTGTGATTCCATTGCGCATTCTTCTCGCTCTTGCCTTTGTGACAAGTATTGCCATCGTCTTTTCTCTCTTAATGAGATTCACACAAGAGAAGGCAAGTTCCAAATTCAGACATGTGGCTAGCTGACCTGCTAGGAACTATGGGAGCAGCGATGGAAAGGGCAATTCCTTTGAGCCGAAACAGTCCACCAATCAGCGAAGCAGTTTTGTTAGGACTGCCAAAAGGCCCGCGACTCAAAACGTTGTAGGTCAAAGCCGTTCGCAGCAGAACTTCATAAGCCCTGTTTGCCAGATCATCTGGAATGCTCATACCGAGCCTATACCCACCAAGGGTTTGAGCCTATCTTAACACCTTTTGCGGCGGCCTTCAGCTTGGCGGCCACCTGGGACTTCGTCCGCTTCAAAGGATTCTCCTTTTCGGTCGCCTCGCAGGAAAAGATACTGCACCGAAACCGAAGAAATATCCGTCAGTGCAATTGGCGCTTCAACATGGCAATCGCTAGTAGGGGACTATGAATATGATCTTCCAAACATACCTGCCGCTGTTTTTGGGAAAGACCTGCGGGTCCGCATTCAAGAAATTCAAGACTTGTCCAGCACTTCCGCTTGGCTTTCACGGTCCGTCCAGCACTTCCGCTCTGTTTTCTCCACTTCAGCTGACCTCACCGAGCATGGGAACCAGTGTCTCACACTTGGCTGTTTGCTTAGAAGTCCAGGACTGTGCGAGTGAACAACGGCTAAACGAAAGATCAATGTGCCAACTGTTGTCCAAATCACGAAAACGAAAGAACAATGCGTCATTTTCTTCGACAACCGCTTCGCCAAGAAACGAGGCAAGAAACAACAAGAAACGACGCCTCGTTTCGACCAATCGTGTGTTCAAGAGCTCGCACACACTGAGTGAGCCAACGACGGTGCAGTATCCAAATCCGAATCTGTTGCCACCATCAGCTCTGGTCCAGGCCTGGGCTGGAGTGCAGGCCGGAGATGAAAACATGATATAGCTTGTAGCTTGAGCGACGGTCACAAAATTAAACATCCAAAACAAGGCACATCTCGTCTTCAAATCCTCCAGGCAACTCTACTTGGCCTTTGACTGTTGCTGACAAACTGGGTTTGCATGCCTCTCGCTGTACACTTCATGCTGCAGCTAGAAATTGAAACATCTGAGCCCGTCTAATTGAATATTGTAACTTTACATTTTCCGTATCCTCACAAATTATATAACAGTTCTCTCTCAAGAAGAGCAGCGATATCATACGATCGCAATGAAACTATACTATACTGTATCTGCGCATTGTTTCACACCAGTGCTTGGGAAAAGTCTTGTTAATCTGAAGGGCTCAGCTGTTCTGAAAACAGCCCTGCAGCTGACAGTTTCTGGGCCACTCAGGGCTGTCAGTGACCCGTCAGTGTGCTCACACAGCTTTACTGCCTGGCAGAAAATGATCCTCTTCTCATCCACGACTGGACTAGCGCACCCATGGACTCGAGAGACCAAAGGGCCGCAACCTCAACTCGTGCGCACGTCGGCGTCTCATGCGGTCGGTCTGTCGCATCTTTGTAGTACGCCAAGTCTCTGCATTTTCTGCATCAGGTTTTTCGGCATGAAGGTTCGTGCCGACATGACGCACCGGCTTTCTGCATCATTGACAAAAAAAGAGGCCCACGGCTACTTGACATCCTCCCTCTCCGTCCTCTCTTTTTTCACTCCAGAAGAAGAGTTGGCAGACTCAATATGAAAATATATAGAGCTGGTTTGGGGCTATATATAGCCAGGTTGCAATTGTGCCACACTCTTGTTGGCAGCACGCCCGAGTTGAACTTGGAGCTCCTTGGATACAAATTTGAAGCAGGGAGCTGACATCGACTCAACCTTTCCACACATGAACGCTTTTGTTATTTTTCTGGAAATTATATTCACCTATGCAAGCAGCCTTCGTTGAAACGAGCAGTTTGTCCAGCTTTCGCACTCGATGTTGTCATGATGCGTGCGTGCTGCATTCCTCGGCCTCTATCTTTTTCTTCCACTGGTTGTGATCAAATTCGAGTCAGTTAGAATCCAGTGTGCAATACTCCTCTTAGTTTAGCTGCTCATGTCCTGCCCAATAAAGGACCGAGCCCTTTCTTTGTCGAGATTCATCGTCCCTCACTGGGATAACATCGTGTTCGCGGTCAAACCTAAGGTGTCGCAATAACAAATGATCGGAGACGTGGCTGACCCACTTGCCAAGATTAAACAATCCACCTCTGCTGATTGCATGTTGAATCGTTTGACATGTACACATCTGCAGTCGTAGTCTTATGACGCTAGAGCTTCTTCTGAGTGGAAGCACTCCTCTTCTTCAGGTCGTATCAATTCCAAAGAAAGAGGTCGCTCCGAAAGTCCTGTGGCACCGTTCTTCGGGTGACCCGTCAGACCCGTCGTGACCGAGCCACTGCCTTCCCAGAACTCCGTTCCGCGCGAGAAGGTTTGCTGCCTGGAGGGGTCCGCACCCGTGGCCCACGGCCGACTCTTCACCCATGAACAAAGGAGAGCGGGAGTGGCGTATGAGTCGACTGAAACGGAAAAGAAAGAGGGTTGTGGGCTTGAATGTCCGCACGGTTCATCCTGTTTCATCCGGTGTCAACTGGGAGATGCACCTCAAGCCCTGTCACCAGTGCTCGTTCCTGGCACAGACCTTTGGCTCCATGTTCGCGATCTCCCAAACGCACCCAATCACCTCAAAAAACATCCAGTTCGTTGCAAGTGGTCCAACTGGTCCTTTGGGATTATTTTTGGACATGAAAGGAAGACGCCGGGCCTGCACAAGCCAGATTCTGCAGAGGCGTCTCCAAAGTAGGTCTCGATTCATATGAGCCAGGCGAGAACCAGCTCACAGCAGCAGGAAAACGCATGACGTGGCTGTCCACCACTGAAGCATTGCCAAAAGCAGGAACCGCTGAAGGCAGGAGTTCCTCCTTGAGCAAACGGATGATGTCCTCGAACAATAATGGAATAGTGTGAACTGAACGGAACTCTTTTTGAATCCAAAAATGGCATGTCAATTCTCTAAGTACGTTGTTCCTTGACCGAGAGCGTCCTCATCCGAGAGTGGCAGAAGAGCACCAGCATTGTAAAAGTCACATGCAACCACTGAACCCTGCGGTTCACCTGCCCAAAGAGCCTCCTTGTCGGGCTGCAACTGATCCAGCATGAAGAATGTGCCTCCGGCACCCCGCAGTCCCCGGAAGCGCGAGAAGACGTTCGCAGGAGTTTCCTGACATCAAGAGAATCATGAGAAGGAACCTAAAGAGAAATGCTGGAGACACACTTTGCCCCTCCTCGGAACATTGCACCAAGCTAAATGAACATGCTTCCCTAAATATATATCTTCCAAAAAATGAGGCCAACTAGTCATCAAGTGTGACAAGTCTCGGTGGGGATGGTCTGATCAAACCACAGTCGCACTGACATGACATCGACACCACGCAGGGCTCCCGCGGCGGACAACGTGGGGCACACCTTCGCCAGCTCCGGGCTGCCGCGCAAGACGGCCCGGAGCCCTCCGGCGCCCAAGGCCAGGACGACAGCATCCAAATCTTCCAGAAGACCTTTGGAACCGCCCTTCATCGCATATCGAAGGCCTGAGACCTTCATATTCTTCACATCCAAGCCTTCCACAAAAGTGTTCCCTCGGACCTCCAAGTTGTACTTTTCAACCAAATGATTCAAGACGGGACTCATCAGGGTTTCGCTGACGGTACCCTTCTTCAGCCAGCGCACGTCAAAGGAAGTCTGGTGGGCCAAAGCGTAAAAGTACAGCAGTTCCTGATTGGTTCCATTGAGAC